AGAGAGGGAGAAAGGCATGGGGCATGCTCGAGAGAGAGAGAGAGAGAGAGAGAGAGTGAGAGAGAGAGAGAGCTGCTTCATAATTGCCTCCATGTATTACCTGGATCATCTGGACTGAGGGAGATGCCTCCTCACCGCAGAGAGGCACGTCTGCTCTCTGGACCAGCAGTGCAAGATGGAGACCCTCTTGCCCAAAGTGATGTTCCAGGGCCTCTTTCACCTCTTGTTTTACACGTGCCTTGCTGAGCTTGCTGTGCGGATAACCTGGAGTGTCCAGCACCCGGACCTGCAGGGTTACTTCTTGCCCCCCTCTACGCATGAAGCCATGGAGGTGACAACTGCGGCCCAGACTACACTCTCTGGTCACAGAACATGGAGCAAAGCTGCTGTGGAAGTCAGTGCTTCCTAGAAGAATGTTGCCAGCAGAACTTTTTCCACTCTGAGTCATGCCGAAGAGGGCCAAGTTGATGATCATCTTGTTGGAGTCCGTCATGGCTATGAGTAACCAAAAGCTTAGCATAAGCAGGTAGGCCTCCATGTTCACCCATGTAAAGCTTCTTACCCGGCCCGAATAATTAGGACATTGTTAACATTAACAATTTTTCTATAGCCTAAAGTAATGCAATGTCTAGAGCACTCCAAGCATTGCCTTTAATTTGCTTTACTCTCATTCATAGTGACTAAAGGGTGCAGGAGTGATTCATCAAAGTGGACACACCCCAGTGAGGAGGGAAGATTGAAATAATATTAGTAGTTTCCAATGGAAGAGGAGAGAGAAGTCAAATATAGATAAGGAAGGGAAGAGGAAGCAAGAATTATAGGACAATGAGAAAAACAAACTAACCACCAAATGACATAATAATGTAAACCATATTAACTCATCAATGTGGTAAGTGAGTTGGTTTAGGAATGGGTACTGAAGTTCCGAAGTTCAAAGCTAGCAGCAGTATTTGAAAATTATTCACTCTTGGGGGAGAAGTAGAAACACAACAATGGAAGAAACCCCCCTTCTTGCATTTTAAACAATGCCCCCCACCTTCCCACCTCCCCACCTTCCCACTGCTTGAATACACAAGTGGCATCTGCAAGAAATCATCTTTCCTAACTTCCTGACTGCTTCTCTCCTATGAAACATGAATAATGTTAAAGAAAACCTGTTTCTGTTTACTTTTGTTGCAACCAGGTGACATCCTGATGAAAATGAGAATGACTGATAATTTCTGTTAGAATATCCTATATAATAAAAGCCTAATATGCTGTGTCTGATCGTCCAGTGACTGGTCGACTGTTCAACCAATCAAAGCATAATATGCTAATGATATGCTAAGGCCGCTGACCCACTTGCTATGACGTGCACTGACCACCTTGGGGCAGATGCTCCAACCAGTAGGTTAGCTTGCTGCTGGGGTCTAGCCAATCGGCACTGAGCGAGATGGGTTGGACATGCCCTGGAGCCCTCCCATGGTCCCTCCCCGGCTGGCCAACCTCTTGCGCCCCTCCCCTGCCCAATCGTGCACTGATGGGTTCCTCAGCCTGGCCTGCACCCTCTTGAAATCTGGGACCCCTTGCGGGATGTCGGAGAGCTGGTTTCAACAGATCCCACAGGGCACCAGACACATGGCTCACCCAGAGGGGCCCCACCTGTGCAGGAATTCGTGCACTGGGCCTCTAGTAATTAATAAATCATTTCCATGGCTCACCATGGTAAAGCATTGACTTCTCAATAAAAAAAGTAAAGTCCAGCCCTGCCAGTGTTGCTCAGTGGTTGAGCGCTCACCTATGAACCAGGAGGTCACAGTTCAATTCCAGGTCAGGGCACATGCCTGGGCTGGGGGCTTGATCCCCAACAGAAGGCATGCAGAAGGCTGCTGATCAATGATTCTCTCGTATCATTGATGTTTCTATCTCTCGCCCCCTCTCCCTTTCTCTCTGAAATAAATAAAAATATATTACAAATTAAGAAGAAAGTAAAGTCCAACAGTTTGTGCAGTTCAGTTAGGAGGAAGAACCTTGGGAGACTCTATTCCATTTACAACTCCCCTAAATTGTAGTTTATCTTTTATGCAGAACAGAAGCCCCTAATAACATTACAGAGCCATCTTTCATTTTCATTAGATCAATGAGGCAGTGCTATTGGCCAAGTACCAAAAGTGCTCAACTACCGATTCAGAAATAGACATTTTAAACTGCATATTTATTACTTTTGTTTATAACTTTTATTTTTATTATACAGTTTCTGTATTATATATAGAGAAAGTACCTCTGGCCTTTCTTGTCCTCTAATGCCCCTCGCCCCAGTCTACCCAGACCTTAACATTAACACCTTGAAGGAACCTCACACCTCCATACCAAAACACTAATTTTTGGGGTCCCTCAAAGTGACCCCAGCTCACCCAGATCATTCAGCTGTGTTGGCTGGAATTTAATCAGTTAGATTATTTTTTTACTCCTGAATCAGATGTGTGATTCAAAAAATAATATCTATGAAATCCCATTCCATTTGCTGAATATCACGTACCTTTTCCAATGTTAAAAATTCTTTTTCTACAAAGACTTCCTTTGAGCTGGTACAGGTGTTCTTTGGTATGAACTTTAGACTTTTAACATTATTATTGTACCACTCCGGGACTGGTAGTGTATGTAATTTATTTAGTAGTTAATCTGTTACTAGGATCCTCTCTATAAATGATTAATTGTCTTTATCAGCACTGAGTTTTTCTGTCACCTGACAGACCTGTAATTTCAATAGGTACTTTCTGAAACTTCTATAGCTAGAATTAAATTCTTTGTTTTAGGACATTGTTAATATTAACAATTTTTCTATAGCCTAAAGTAATGCAATGTCTAGTTTCTGTTTAACACAAACTAGACATTAAAAACAGAATGTAGACAGAAACTAGACATTCAAAAGGCACAGCTATATTTTTCCATTGTAAGTAATGAATACCATTACTTTATGAAAATTGCAATAAACTGATATGTAATATATGTGAAATAAATAAGCACCGACTTCATAACAGTATTAAGTTCATACATTCAAAAATTCTTTAAGGAAACTCTTGGCTAGTTCCATATAATTGAAATTTATTCTTCTATTTTAATTAATACAGCCACTAGCATGATTATATTAACACGTGCTGTTTTCATGTCAATTAATGACAGTCAATGAATATAATTTACTATAACTTGAAGACAAATAAATTTTTATTAAAATGGGGGTTTTATTTCATTACTGAACGATTACATTTGATTTTTCCACTTCTTAGTATATAACCCATACTTTTCCAAGATACTTTCTTGTGTGTAAGAGGTAAAACCTTTTTTTATTTTTTTTAAATATATTTTATTGATTTTTTACAGAGAGGAAGGGAGGGGAATAGAGAGTTAGAAACATCAATGAGAGAGAAACATCAATCAGCTGCCTCCTGAACACTCCCTACTGGGTATGTGCACACAACCAAGGTACATGCCCTTGACTAGAATCGAACCTGGGATGCTTGAGTCCGCAGGCCGATGCTCTATCCACTGAGCCAAACCGGTTAGGGCAAGAGGTAAAACCTTTATGTGGTTATATTCTGGTTCAGCTTCTCCTGTACTCCTCAAACACTCTGTGAAATATGTATTTCTGCATGGAGGAATCACGCAGGCATCTGGAACGCCTTATGATTTCATGGGCAGAAAGTTAAAGTCTTCTTCCTGTGTGAATATGACAAGGAAAACGTGAACTGGATTCATTCATCTGACAAGCACATTTGGCTTTTCTTGAATGAAGTAGGAAGAACCTCCCCCAGGTGGCAGTAGCAGCCTGTTTCCTAAGAAGTAATTTTGAACTAGAATTTATTTTCATTTTTCCCCCTGAAACCAAAAACTGACATTCTTCAACGAGGTGATCTACATCAACACATAGGACTTGTGTGGACGGTCTTTTAAATAAAGGCAAGACTGAACCTTCTTTCCCATGTTCATTACAAAAAGTGGCACACATACAAGGTTCTTAGTTTTTAAACTTTCTTCCACTTTAAAAACATAGTTTAAATCATTTATTGAATGCAACATTTGACTGTTTAAAAAAAGTTTCAGAGTTTCTATATGTGGTTAAAAATACAAATAATTTTCAAGACATTTAATGGAGATTTCATACCTGAGTCCACTTAGAGGTCATATAGGAGAGTAATCTATACTAATAAAAGTAATATGCTAATTAGACCAGACATCTTCTGGACATCCTTCTGGATGTCCTTCCAGACAAAGCCAGGGTGGCGGGGCCAAGGCAGAGTTGGATAGGGGTGACCAGGCCAGCAGGGGAGGGCAGTTAGAGGTGACCAAGCAGGCAGGGGAAAGCAGTTGGGGTGACTAGGCCAGCAGGGTAGGGCAGTTATGGGGGACCAGGCAGGCAGGCAGGTGAGTGGTTAGGAGCCAGCAATTCTGGATTGCAAAAGGGATGTAGCCAGTGAACCATCCCCTGAAGGGTTCCAGAATGGAGAGGGTGCAGACCTGGCTGAGGAAACCCCCCCCCCACCCCCCATGCATGAATTTTGTGCCCTGGGCCTCTAGTCTATACTAATAAAAGGGTAATATGCTAATTAGACTGGGTCGATCAGACAGGACATCTTCCAGTTGTCCAGTTCTCGTTCCAGAAAAGCCATGGTGGTGGGGGCCCGAGGCAGAGGTGGTTAGGGGCAATCAGATAAGCAGGTAGAGTGGTTAGGGGTGATCAGGCAGGCAGGCAGGTGAGTGGTTGGAAACCAGTGGTCCCAGATTGTGAGTCAGATATCCCCCCACCCCCTGAGGGGCCCCAGATTGGAGAGGCTGCAGGCTGGGCTGAGGGACCCTCCCGCCCCCCACCCCCACCCTGCACAAATTTCGTGCTCCCAGCCTCCAGTGTGTTAATATTAGATGATATTAAATGATTGGTGTTAATTATTTTTGAATTAGGGTGAAAAAACAACTTGAAAAATCACCTCATTCTTTTCAGCCTTTTGGTTAAATATAATGTAGCAGGGATAAAACTGTATAACTTTAACAGCTGGCTCCAGGATTCTCTGAGAAAGGGAACCACCTCTGTTTGAGGATAGTTTGATTAACTATTATGGGGATCCTAAGAACATGAACCAAACTCATATAAAGTGATAGCTAAACTGTTGGGGATGAGGGAAGGGCCAAGAAAAGTGTAGGAAAGATTATATGGGGATATAGAGGAGGGAGGACAAGAGGAAGGGAAGGAGAAAGACAGAGGAGCCAAAGGTGGAGGAAAAGGGTGAGGAGGAAAACGGTGAGGAGGAGAGAGGGCTAGGGGGAGGATGAGGAGGAAGAAAAGGAAGAGGAGGAAATCTCTCACTTGTGGAAATTGCGAAGGGACTATTTTAGAGCTATTTTATTTAAATATTTCTTAACTTAGGGCAATTTGATTTAAAGATTCACAGTTTTAGATAATTTCCAATTTACATTGGCTTGAACTGTGATCCCATTGCTAGTATGTTAGCTTTTCATAACAAAGAAGACCCTTAGAGTAAGAACCAGAATCTTTATTTATGATGTCTAAATGACCTTAACCTTGGCCAATACTGCTCCAAGTCAAGAGAACACCGATAAGGTGGTTAAAGTTGGTGATAATTTGATTGACTCAGTTTGAGGAGGTTTTAGAATAAGACATCAGATCTCACCCTTCAAAACATTTTAGAGAACAGTGGTCATCAGATTAAACTTGGGGACAAATGATCCTAATTTGAACACAGTCTAACGGCTCTTGGAGCAATAAAGAATGCCCATGTCTGGGCAGAAATATTGATGGGAATAGGAGGTTTCGGTCCAAACTTGGTTGGTTTCATATTTTAAAGTCTCTACTACTCCCATCACCACACAGGAACACTTCTGTTTTTTGTTGATGTTGTGGCTGTTGATTTTCGTTTGTTTGCTTTTTTTGTTTTCCTTCTGAGTATTTCTAATTAGTTTTTTAGAATTATAAATGAAATATGCACACTTCAAAGCATTTAGGAAATTCAGAAAAGAACAGAGAGGAAAATAGAAGCATTTTTAAATCTTTAATACTTAGGGCCCATGGGGCAACGGCTCCTCTTAGGGACTGAGAAAGTGAGTACATTTCTTTTTCCAAACTACCTATTTCCTCCCCCTATTTACTGCCCTTCCTTAAAAATCACTACAGTAATGAGAGGCATTACTAATGGGATTATGTTTAGTATGTGAACTGTGTGAGTCAAGAGTAATTGTTGGCAATCAGGATATGGTATTTTGCTATGCTACTGCATTTAATTTTCTAAGATTTATTTATAATTTTAGCAACATTATTAATAGTATACTGGATTATAGCTTTCTATTTTTATCCTATATTTATCAGGTTTTCAGGAATACACTAACTTCTTATCTTGAATTAAGAAATTTCTTTCTTTTATGATGCTCTGCAATAATTTAGATATCTTGGCAATTATATATCCCTGGAAGGTTTAAAGAAATTTTTGGGAGAACAGCTAGGCCCAAAACCTTTCTGGAAGTCATTCTTGAACAACTTAAAAAATTTCTGTCATGGTAATTTGTCTCTTCTTGTGTCAATATTGGTGATTTATAGTATAATCAATATATATTTTACCCAGATTTAAAAATGTTAAAGTATAATCACCTCTATTCCTGGTTTTAGATTCCACTTCTTGTTCTGAAATGCTTATATAACAAGTTTGGCTTTATGTACTTAATAAATGTTTGCATATGCACCCGTGTGTGTATGCAATTAACTTTTGTACTTTTATAGTTTGAAGTGGATTTCCAAGAACATAAACAAAATTTATAATCTGATGCCTCTAGGACATAATGATTTGACTTACAGAACTAAACTTTGGCCACCAAGTCTGAGCCAATTATTGGCCACCAACTCTGAGGCATTGTTGAAAAGATAAATTCAGTCTTGAAAGCAAGAATAAAATCAGTAAAGTTTTAACTCTATACTTGCTAAAGTAACATTAAATGTTGAGAAAAAAATGTCAGCACAATAAACATACTTACTTCAAATTCCCAAAATTTGTCAAATGATCTCAAAGTTCTCAAGCCTTATTCTTGAAAAACTTGCTAAATTTTATTATCTTAATTTAGATCCTTTATAAACCTTTTTTGTCCATTTTTGAGAAACACGGTAACAGACTATAATGCAAAATACTATCAAAGATATATTAATATAAAATAATTTTATATGTCAAAAATTTGATATGTTTTAGTCCTCTTACCTTAAAAAATAGCATGCATTTAACCTTCATGGATAAATGTATTTTATTACAAAACTAGAGGCCCAGTGCACAAATTTGTGCACCTTGAGGCTGTGGTGGGCACAGGGGCGGGTCTCAGCCCATCTCTGTGCCCCTGCCCAGCTCCTCCCACCACAGACCAAATGGTACTACTAATTACAGAAAGGCCTGCAGCCATCGCTCACATCCACTGATGGTGCCGAGTGATTGGGGCTGGTGCCAGCTGCCAGCAGAGGGTACAAGAGGCAGCTCCAGTGCCGGCAGTGGGTGTGAGCAGGGCTGGCACCCACAGCAGGTGCGAGCGCTGGGCGGGACTACGGGTCACGGAAACAAAG